TCGAAATCCTCCATGGGTGGCTCTCAGGCTCTTGATACCATGACAGAAATCGTAATGGTGAAAAGGAAAAGCAGAGAGCAGTACACAAAGGATGAAGGAAATTTTTTTTGTATATTCCTCAATGAATCCACTATACGTAATGTTGTGGGTATTTATATCCCTCCTGTGTAACAAACTAATCAACTCTGTACTGTCAATGGAAGCTAGCTAATAATAGAAAATGTATTTACAAATGAATAGAAAAGAAGGAAACTAGTGTAATTACAAATCAGTCCTTTTCTATATTTGTGCTTAGACGTCTTGTAGCTTGATTCTCTGTACTGTGTAATATCAAATGATACCACAGTTTTAGATACTTCAGATGAAACTTGCCCAAAAATCAAACTGGCTAAGAAAACACTACAGAGAATCAAAAATAGGTGGAAGGATGGCTTGATAGTAAAATTACATGGAAGGAATATCGGATATAAAATGCTTTGTATCAATGATTGGAATATTTGGGGTTTTGAGGTTATTGATTTGGATTATGGTTATTATCTGTTCAATTTTCATATGAAAAGGGATTGTTCTAAGGTTGCTACAGGAGGTCCCTAGGTAATCATAAACCATTATCTCACTGTCCGCAAATGGGAGCCAGATTTCATTTTGTCTGTGGCCCAAGAGATCTCATTAGCACCCTAAATTAGATTTGCCTGAACTACCATTAGAGTATTATGAAGAAAAGACATTCTTCAAAATATCAAAGGCTTTAGGTAAACCCATCAAAATAGTCAACGGTTGAAATAGAAAAATTTGCACCAGGTTATGTGGACAGGGATTTGTCCAAACCACTAATCTCCCACTATAATTTGGGTTTTGGGGGGGGGGGGGGAAGCTGTTCAAGGCGGAATATGAGTGCTTGCAATCGGTATGCTTTGCTTGCAAAAGGGTTGATCAAGTAGACTTGTATTGTCTGCACTCGCATAAGTCACATAGGAATAATAGAGGTATCGAAGAGAAAGTTAAAAATTAGTTTTATGGATTACTGTCCAAAAAGGCTTTACTATTTTGTGTACTTTAAAACTATTTTCAAAATCATATTACCAAACAAGTATTGTAATATAAAAATATCAAAAAATACTTTTTTAAAACTTTTCTCAAAAATTATTTTTAGATATTGTTTTTAGAGATACAAATATCTTTTTGATGTTTTTTGTATCATAAAACTTATTTATTATATGATTTCAAAAACAGTTCTATGGAATGAAAAATAGTAAAATTTATCTAGACAGTAACTCAAAAAAACAGAAATATGGTGGTAGTGGCAGTGTGGTGGTGGTAGTGTGGTAGACTTGGTGGTGGTTTTGGTGGTGATGGTGGTGTGATGGACATGATGGAAGTGTGGTGGTGATGGTGTTTTCTAAATTTTAAAAAAGTTGTTTCCAAAAACACATAAAACATCTCTGACTTGTGTTCTAAGTGTGCATTTGGTAACTTGTCTGTGTTTATATTTTTTTAAATAAAAAAATCAAATATAACTAATTTTTATTTTTTCTGTGATAAAAATTAAAAATATAAAACATGTTTGATAGTCATTTATATTTAAAAAATAATGAAAACAAAAATAAAAGACATATTTGGTATTATAGTTGTTTTGGTTTATTTTTTTAATTCAAAATAAGTTGTTTCTCAAAAGCATTTTAGGGATGCACTACCCAACACCACCGAAAAACCACTCTATAACCTCTAAAAACAACCATCAAACACCCCGAAAATCCACCATCCAACCCCCAAAAACCCTAAATCCCCCCAGAAAACCACCACCCATAACCTCTGAAAGACAACAAACCCTTTGAAAATCCCCCACCCAAAACTCACCACCAAAAACCCAAAAACCCACCACACAACCACCCATAATCCCTGAAAACCACCACCAAACCCTCTGAAATCCCACCGCTCACCACTCCTGAATACCCACCACCAAACCGACCACCTAACCACCGAAAATTCACCACCAAATCGACCACGAGATGAGCAAATCTGAGCCTTCTTGATCGTTTTCCAACTAAGAGAGAGACAGAGATGACCATTGGTTGCACAAAGAGAAAGAGATTAGCGTTGTTTTGTAGAGAGAGAAGGTCGGCGAAAATTGGGGTTTAAATATTTTCACCAAGAAAATATGATTTTTTATGCTAATAGGGTTCGATGGATGGACTTCATTAAAATCCCACTTTTCAAAGCGCGTGTTCCCATTTTTTCCTGTTTTTGAAAATGTTTTTTTTTGGCCTTGTTTTTAAAACAGAGTTGCTAAAAAAACAGAAACGCATCACAAAATAAAAAAAAAAACAAAAACAAAAATAATGCATTACCAAGCACAACCTAAATCTCTGAAATTTTTGTTCTCAATTTTAAAAAAAAAAAAGAAAAACAAAAAATAACTGATCAAATAGCTTTTCTTTTAGAAACTATTTCTGAATATAGAAAATATTTTCTAAAATGCAAACCAAATATGGCCTAATTTTTTTTTTAACCTATCTATAATTATTAGAAGGAAAAGAAACATACCTTAAACAATTAAAATGACCAAGGAGTTTGGATGACGAATCAAAATGAGATCATTTATGAAACATTAATGCTAGACTGACCAAATTTTGAAATCAAATTTGAAACCCAAATGACATGACAGCTGATTATTTAAAGTTTTTATTGAGACCTAAATGACATGACACCAATGAAAGAAGCCCAAGTCAACTTTCATGTCATTTGGACTTCAATTTAGTCTTAAAATTTGGTCAGTGTAACATTACTCTTTATGAAATTGTGAAATGTTTTAGAGACCCTTTTGAGGAAGAAATTGGATTAGCACCATACAATACTAATTTAGGTATCAAGCTAGGGTCACTAAGAGTGAGAAGAATCTATTGGAAAGCCCAGTCACTAATGAAATAAGTTAAGAAACCTATACATACGTTAAAAGGACAAAACGCCCCCGGGCCAAAAGGCCTGCATGCTTACTTTTATTAGAAATATTGGGGAATTGTTGGGAATTCTATGTGTCAACGGATTAAGGAAGTCATAGGTAATGGGGTTTTCCCTAAGGAGTTAAACTCAACTCGGATAACTCTGATACCTAAAATTGAAAATTCAACTCACATTCCTCAATTTAGACCAATTAGTTTGTGTTATGCCAGCTATAAGATTCTTACAAAGCTTCTGGTGAATAGGTTGAGACCTTTCTTGAATAACTTAGTAAGTCCAAACCAGTACGAGAGAAAGAATATCGGGATACGAAAATCAAATCCTACTAAGATTGTACTTACTAAAATTGTGGAAAACTTCTCACTCACATCACCGTCTTTCCTTCACTATATAATGTACACCCATTCAGTATTGAGAGCACGCCTCTGAAGTCTCTACACCTCCCCGTATACACATTCCTCTCTCTTTCTTTAAGCACTGTAATACTCCAGAAGCATACTTTCCCAGTGATATTATTTATCAATAAAAGATTCAGGTCACCGCTGCCGTTTCCGAGAGCGGAGTAGGTCACCCGAACTGAACCACTATAAATCTCTATGTTGACTAATTATTTACTGTTTTATCATTAATTGCTTGTTTATTCTGCATTGACTGCACCTGTTCATATTCTTTGACTGTTAATTTTACACAATATCAATTTGTGTATCATCAGAAATAGAGACTAATGCTTACGAGGCATACACTTTTCTCTCGTAAACTCAAGAAATGTGTCGTGCAAGCAAAATGTTAATCGCCAAATGCAGGAAACTGCTGAGAGAAAGCAATAGCCAAATCAGCCATTCGCTGCATGGAGGAAATCAATGTGCAGACACCCTTGCAAGTATGGGAGAACGTCAACTGGATAAATTTGTCAAGTTTGGCACACTGCCAATGAAGTTTAATTGATTACCTGAGGCAGATCTTGCTAGTATTGCTTTTGTTAGACTTTCTTAGTCTAATAATTTAAACTTTCCATTATACCAAAAAAAAAAAAAAAAAATACGATTTCTTCTCTCGAGGTACCAAGAGGTAGTTATCACATCAGTAATGATGTGACATAACCATCATATTGAATAGTTTTTTCTCTTAATGGTGTCTCTCATTTATTGTTATAACCATGATATATTCACCGTAAAAAAAAATTATTATGGTCATAGACAATTCAATGGTAAGACTTGTTCCCGCTTAAATCTCCAACAAGAATCGCATATTTATATTATGGGAGTAGATTACGGGATATTTTAAATAATAATAAGAAATGAAACATCTGCTCTTCACTGGAAACAGTACTAACACGGTACTAGGTCACTATTCAATTAGTGATCCTAATGGGAATTAACGTTGCTTAAACATTTGATTGTGCAAAAAAAATGTAAACAAAAGAAAGAAACAACTCAAAGAAAACAAAAATACTGAATTGTTTGTTTGGATGGATGGAAGCAACTCTAATGGGGGATCAATAGGCCGGGGGGTATAATCATGGCTGCCTCAGCACCCAAACCCTTCCAAAAGGAAAAAATAAGTAAAACACATTATAAAAAAATTAAACAAACTATAATTAAAGAATAAAATAATTAATAAAAAGAATTTATTCACAAATCATATCCGGGGAGTTATGTGATCCAATAGTTTCTAACCGACTTAAGGGGATTTTTCCAACCTGGCAGTCAAATCTCTTTCTCTCTCTCTCTATCTCATCTTTGGAACTTAATCAAATTCGTCCTCTCTCTCTTCCGTGTCCAGATGTATCCATTTTCCCTTTCACAACTTTCACAATTGCACCGACTTGTCGTTATCCCGTTTCTTCCTCTGCAAATCCAACTGTCCAAACGCGTGTTTGCAACCCCTCCATGAAGTTACTCCCAAGCTGCTCTGCCCCACCACCATATCTCCTTCAAATACCCTCCACTTCCCCCACCACTCACCGCCCTAAAACCTTAACGCTCTATCAACGATTCAATCAACAAAGCATTACCCAAAGATAACGCAATCAAGCTTTTCCCATGGTTGCTGTGACCACCATGGGATGGTTCTCAGAAATGGGCTCACGCGTCGGCCACCACCTCATCCCCTCTCTCTCCGCCGAATCCAAGAAGGCCACCCATCTCGGCATCCTTGCGTTCGAAACTGCAAAAACCATGTCACGTTTAGTCTCCCTATATAGATCTCTTTCTGACGAAGAAATCTTCAAGCTCAGAAAAGTGGTCATGAAATCCGAAGGTGTCGCCTACTTGAACTCCAAAGATGAAGCCTTCCTATTCAGCCTCGCCTGCGCCGAGAGGCTAGAAGATCTTGATAAGGTCGTAGCCGCGGTGGCTCGATCAGGCCACAAGTGCGCAGACTTTGGCTTGAAAAAATTCGACCTCGTATACACAGATCTCAAAATGGGTTATATTGATTTGGCAAAATTAGAATATGGGTCGAAAGAGATAGAGAAAAAAGTCCAGAAAATGGAGAGATTGATATCGGCAACGTCGGGTTTGTATGCATCATTGGAATCTCTCACGGAATTGGCGATATCAGAGCAAAAGGTAACTCAATGGAAGAAGAATTGCACTACGATAGAATCGGAGAAGATGAACTTTGACATTCTCTATCAGCAGATCGCGAACCAGAGAAAACAGGTTCGCCATTTCAGAGAAACGTCCTTATGGAGCAAGTCGTTTGATAAAAGTGTTGGTCTAATGGCACGCCTTGTATTAATTGTTTATGCTCGAATGTGTGTTGTCTTCGGTCCATATATTCCAGTTCTACCTGCAATTACGTTGCGTAATGTTCTTTCTCCACGAAAAAGAGAGATGACCCCAGTTTGCCTTACAGAACCAACGAAAGAACAAGTTTGTTCACGATCCGGACCCATCCCAACAAGTTCTAAGTCCAGTTTGGTCCGATTCTATAGCCGAAGATCAATTCTGTTCTTATCTGAAGATAATGGTTATGGGTCTGAGGGGTTTGTGAAGAATAATAGAGTTCTTCACGCAGCGAGCCCATCGACGGTGGGTGGTTCTGGGCTGGCCTTCCGGTACGCAAATGTAATACTCTTGGCGGAGATGTACTTGAACTCGCCGGTGACGATAGACCATGATGAACGTGAAAACTTGTACGAGATGTTGCCGGAGAATCTGAAAATGTTAGTCCGATCAAAGCTGAGGAAGAATGTGAGGAGTCATCACATGGAAGACGATGAGTCGTTAGCGGAGGGGTGGAGGGAGGCGTTGGCGGCGATAATGGGGTGGCTAGCGCCGCTGGCTCACCATACGGTGAAGTGGCAGATGGAGAAGAATTTTGTGAAGATGAACTTTGATTCGAAGCCGTCGGTGTTGTTATTACAGACATTACATTTTTCGGATAGAGAGAAGACAGAGGCTGCCATTGCTGAGGTGTTGGTAGGGTTGAGTTGTATATATTGGTACGAGAATCGCCGGTCGGACGAGTTCTGAAGATGGAGATCCGAGATTACTAGGTACTTTTGATTGTAATAGGTTTTAGAAGATGGATTTGTATCATTTCGATTTCGAGTTTTGTCGACTTGGAGCAATTTTAATCGGTTAGGTCACACTTGTTGAATTTTAGGTGTTTGATGATTAAACTTGACGGATCGACAAAATCTGAACTGAGAGAGGATCTAGATCTAATGTGATAAGGTCCATGTAGCATTGTCCAATGTTATACTATTACCTAGTTATTTGCTATTTAAAAATTTGACATTTTTGTAAATATATTGTATATAAATATGAATGAATGTTGGCCTACTATTGTGCTAATATTTGACTCTATAACTTTGCATAGAGTTAATATTGTATTTGATTATCATTATGATTTGAAGCCTAAAAAATGAGGTCCTCACCAAGAAATATACAAGTTAAAAAGTTCATTTTCTGACATATGTATATTCTCTACATTATCTTTGTAAGTTTATATATTTCTCTTCCTTTCACAACACGTTATCAGGGACTCTATCTTTCTTGTTTTTTCTCTTATAAAGGGAATATTCATTTCAAGTCATACAGAACTGAAAATTTGAGTTTTTGCGATAAGTGGTAAATATTATTACTATAATTAATATTATATTCGTTTTGTATTCTTTCCTTATATCTATTTTGATTGAAGTTTTACTATTATTGGTGTGGTGTTGTTTTAATTTTATGAACTAAGCCCCCGAAAGTTTTTCGATAAATTGCATGTGATAATACAAGCTCCAGAAGAGATTTGTCTAAATCAATTTTAAATGTTTATTGATAATTTATTCATCGTCTTTTAGTTTTATTTATAATGATTTGCAATCATAGATAGATTAGTTCATTAAATATTTTATTAACGAAATATTACATGGACAATTTTTTTTTTATTCACTATTTATTCATTCATGTTATATTGTATACTTACATGCAGAGATTATTACCTATGTTATTTTTCCTTTCAATTCTAAATATGTTTTTTTTTAATCATATTTAGACCAAGTTGAACATCACAAAACTTGAGATTGTCGCTCTTGATATTTCATGCTAATAACTATCTTTCTTGGATTCTTGATGCTGATATCCACTTGACAGTCATGAATCTTGGTGATACTATCAAAATAAGAAATACCGCATCCCTGCAGGATCGCGCAAAGACAATGATATTTATTTGTCATCACCTTCATGAAAGATTGAAAAACGAATATCTTACAAAAAATGATTCACTTGTCCTTTAGGATAAATTAAAGGAGAGCAATGCTAAGTAATTCAAATTTGTAATCCAAATTTGTTTCCCAAATGAAAAGAGACAATTCGATCAGTGGGTCTCATTTAAAAAGTTGATGGGACCCACTCATCCAATGGTCCCCTTCATTTGAGAGGTAAATTTGAGTTACATAGTATTTTCCATTAAAGGAACAGTATGTCCACCAAAAGATCGTTATACTTCCAAATGCTCAACATAAATTGATGCACCTGAGGTTTCAAGATTTTAAAAAGGTGAGCGATTATAATTAGACACTATTTAAAATCTGCTCACAATTGACACCATATGGAGAAACAATTACTGATAAAGACATGTTAGAGAAAAAATTCTCTACTTTTCACGCCTCTAATGTGCTCCTGCATGAGCAATATAGAGAGTGCAGGTTTACTAAATACTCTAACCTGATATCATGTCTTGTTGTGGCTGAACAAAATAACGAGTTTTTGATGAAAAATCATGAATCTCACTCAATTGATTTTACAGCATTCCCTGAAGCGAATGCCACCTCATACCATGATCGTGGTAAAAACGGTAGTCGTAGTCGAAACGATAATCGACACCGTGGTCATAATAGTGCACCTCACCACCAAAAGTGGGCTGGGCAAACAAAAATGCAAAGCAACATTAAGGGAAAGGTTTGTTGAATAAACCGCCCAAGAATTATGAAGAAGTTTGTCATAGGTTTAGTATAAAAGGACATTAGTCACATACCTGTCATACGCCCAAGCATTTGGTGGACCTTTACTAGGTATCCATAAAAGAAAAAGAAGAAATGCAGAAACAAATTTCATTTATCACCATGAACTAGTAGATCTTTCTTGCCTTGATGTTTCTTATCCAATTGACATAACTCACCTTGATGTTTCTGATTTTTTTGTCGATCCTAATGGCAAAATTGATCATTTTATCAGTGATGGAAATGTCCAAATCGATTAGTGTTATTTTTCTTATCATATTATCTTTATAAGATGTTGGGCATGAATTTATTTTTATTTTTATTTTTACTTTTTGATGTTTTATTTCTATTTAAACTTATTGTGACTTTGTTTTTACGAATAAAAAGGAATAGATCTTATTTATCAACTATTCAATTCTAAAATGAATGGTGAAGATGCATGTCTAGTAAACAGTGGCACAAGCCATACAATCTTTCAACATAAAAGATTTTTCTTCAACTTAACATTAGTTGAAGCTAATGTAAATACAATATCGGGTTTTACAAACTTGATTGAAAGCTCCAGAAGAGCTATTATCATGTTACCAAATGGAACAAAAATCCATATCAACAACGCGTTATATTCAGTCAAATCTAGAAGAAACATGCTAATTTTCAAAGATATACGTCGTAATGGATTTCATATTGAGACAATAAATGATAATAATAGAGAATATCTTTATATCACGTCAATTGTTTCTGGTATGGAGCTTATATTAAATAAACTTTCTATTTTCTCTTCTAGGTTGTATTGCACAACCATAAGAACGATTGAAGCAAACAATATGATGAGCCAGAAGCTCTCTAATTTAAAGACTTTTGTACTTTGACATGATCAACTTGGTCACCCTGGGTCAATAATGATGTGTTGAATCATCAATAACTCACATAGACATCCTCTAAAGAACCAAAAGATTCTTTTGCCGAGTGATTATACATTTGATGCTTGTTCACAAAGACAATTAGTTATTAGACCATCTCCCACAAAAGTCAATGTTGAATCCCCAACTTTTCTATAGAGAATTCAAGGAGATATTGGTGGACCTATACACCCATCATGTGGACCATTTCAATATTTTATGGTATTAATTGACGCTTCAACACTATGGCCACATTTTGTTTATTATCTATTCAAAATGTTGCTTTTGCTCGTTTTCTTGCCCAAAGAATTTGATTACGAGCGCAATTCCCAGATTACCCAATCAAGACAATTCGTCTTAATAGTACTGTTGAATTTACATCTTAATTATTTGATTATTATTGCATATCTGTTGGGATTGATGTGGAGCACCTAGTTGCTCACATCCATACCCAAAATAGTTTAGTCGAGTCTCTCATCAAAAGACTTCAGTTAACTACCCGACCCTTACTTATGAGAACAAAGCTACCAATTTCTGTTGAGGGACATGCAATATTACATGTAGCAACCTTAGTTCGTATTCAACCCACTGCTTACCATCAATACTCTCCAATACAACTCGTACTTGGTTAACCTCCAGATATTTCTCACTTGCGAACATTTGGTTGTTCTATATATATATATATATATATATATATATATATATATATATATATATATATATATATATATATATATATGTCCCAATGGTAACCCCGCAATGCACTAAGATGGGTCCACAATGTCAACTAGGAATTTATGTTGGGTATGATTCACTTTCAATTGTTAGGTACCTTGAACCTTTAACAAGAGATGTTTTTACTGAAAGATTTTCAGATTGTCATTTTGATGAGACAGTATTCCTGCCGTTAGGGGAAGGAAATATGTCACCTTCTAAAGAATGGTGTGAGCTTTCTTGGACTTAAAAAAATATGTCTCATCTTAATCTACGCACTCCTCAATGTAAAACTGAGGTACAAATGATTATTCACCTCCAAAACATTGCTAATTAGTTGTCTGATGCATTTACTAATGAAGCAAGAGTAAACAAGTTTTATGTGTCAGCTATGAACACTCCGACAAAGATTGATGTTTCAATTGAAAAATATATGGTAACAATTGAATCATCAACTACACGGTTGAAGCGTGGGTGACCCATGGGTTCAAAAGATTCTGCTCCCCAGAAGATGAGAATCAAAAGGTAATCACATATAACTCTTGAAGAAATTGTTGAATTATAGAATAAATATGCACCCACATCATCTCAAATGATACCCCCTAAAGAGAAAAAAGTCCTTGAAATGACACAGACCCCTGAAAAGATGCAAATATCTACAAATGAAAAAAAAAATTGATTAACTATGCACATACGGGAGAGATCTGAGATCGCACAAAAATAAGCATCTGTGATGTATTTTCTTTTTTAGTAGTTACTGAAATCTTGAATGATGATCTCAAACCATGCACAATAGATGAATGCCAACATCAACATGATTGGCCAAAATGGCAAAAAGCAATCCAAGTGAAATTGATTTCTCTTGCAAAGCATGGAGTGTTTGGACCTGTAGTCCTAACACCTAATAATATAAAATTTGTTGGTTATAAATGAATTTTTTGTAAGAAAAATGAATGAAAAAAAAGAGATCACAAAATACAAAGCATGCCTACTAGCGCAAGGGTTCCTACAGAAACTTTGGATTGATTATGAAGAAACATATTCACCAGTAATTGATGCAATTATATGTCGGTATCTTATTAGTTTAGTAGCCTCAGAAGGACTTGACATGCATCTTATGAAAGTTGTTACTGTATATAAAAAGTCAGATACTAATATTTATATGAAAGTCCCTGAAGGATTGCAATTGTCTAAAGCAAACACATCAAAACCACACAACATGTACCCAATTAAGCTAAGACGATCCTTATATGGATTGAAACAATCTGGAAGAATGTGGTATAATCGTCTCAGTGAGTACTTGGTAAAAAAAATGTATGTTAACATTCTCATTTGCCAATGTGTATTTATTAAGAAATCAAAATCTGGATTTAACATCATTGTAGTATATGTTCATGATATGAATCTAATTGGAACTCCTGAAGAGTAGATAAAAGTTGCTAAATATTTGAAAAAAGAATTTGATATGAAAGATTTTGGAAAACAAAATACTGTCTCGGCCTATAGATCGAGCACATACGTTAAACGAAATTCTTATTCATCAAACAACTTATATTGAAAAAGGTCCTAAAGTGGTTTAGCATGGATAAATCATATCTGTTAAGTACTCCAATAGTTGTTTGATCTCTTGATGTCAATAAGGACCCTCTTCATCCAATGGAGGAAAATGAAATG